TGACCGATAGATCCCTGACATATTTATATTACACCTATCGGATACCTATCGGGCACCTATCGGATATCTATTGGTCCTCCCGATAGCTACCCGATTGGTCCCTGATATATGCCTGAAATATGGATTTCGACCTGTGAAGACTTTTATAATAAAATTTTCATGTTAATATTCTTATTTAAGAAATTTCTAATTTGATTTTTTATTAGTTATTTAGATAACTTTCAAATAATTTCAAATGACTTTGGTTATAATTTTAAATGACATGTTTATTTGATCATTTGAAAGTTATTTCAAAATAAGCTATTTCTGCTTTTGTGAATTTCTATAAATAAATAAATAATATAAAAAAAATAAAAAATAAAATAAAAGAAATAAGAGAAGAAAAAATAAATGTAAATAATAAATAATAGATATAGGAATAAAAATAAGATAGAATATTTGTAAAATAATAATAATTAATAAAAATAAATAAATAAAAGTAAAGAAATTAAATAAAAAACTATAAAAATTAAAAAAAAAAATAATATTATCTAAATAAATTGATATTTTTTTTATAGTATCTACAATGTTTACAATAAAAATACTTGTTACAATTATTTTCATAAGTTGCAATTAGTTGCAACTTCACAATACTGCAATTGTATGCAATGCCACAATTATGGTACAATTATATCATTAATGTAATTATATATAAGATCAGAAATAATTATTGATGATTATTATATATAAAATATTTTAGTTTGTAAATAAATATCAAAATAGTATTAAGTAATCTTAAAGACAACAATGAATTACATATTATATAAAAAGATGAAATGCATATTAAAAAAATCGAAAGAACTTAAAGTTCAAATGGATAAAAAAATTTAAAATGATAATAATTCACTCAATTTTAATTATATAAATCTGTTCTTTTAATATAATATGTAATATATTTTTTTTTTTGAAGTTACTTAGTACCATTATATATATGTCTATCATTTTGCTAATTGTACAAAAATTAATAATATTACAAAAATCACATAATAAATGAAAGATTATACAAAATTTTTTTTTTTTTAATTCAGTTATAATTTATATAACAAGGTGCAATTTTATATTAAGATATTTTTATGACAGATAGAAAGTCCTTGTTTAGTTACAAGATGATATGTGTTTTATTCTTGTAACATCAATAATCATGGAAATATTCACAAATGTCCATGAAAAATTTTTGTCAAATTTTCTGTAATTCTGATCAGAATTATAAAAATTATGAAAATAATAAATTAGTATAATTATAACATACAGTAATTATATACAAAATCGTTAATATTAGTACATATAAAACTTTTTATATTGTAAATGAATATTAAAAATGGTACTAAGTAATTTTCAAAGACAAAAAAATTAATTATATATTATATTAAAAGAACAGACCTATATAATCAAAATTGAGCAAATATTGTTATTTTAAAATTTTTCATCTATTCGAACTTTAACTGCTAATAGTTCTCTCAATTTTGATAGTATGTATCTCTTATTTTTATATAATACGTGATTAATACTTGTCTTTAAGATTAATTAATACTGTTTTTAATATTTACTTATAAACTAAAATGTTTTATATGTAACAACCATCGATGATTATTTCTGATCTTATATATAATTATATTAATGATATAATTACAGTACATTATAATTGTAGCATTTTGGCATAATTGTGAATTGGCGCAATGTTGTAACTCTTGTCATAATTCATTTATCACTAATCTGGGTAATTAAAAAATTTTGAATTTTAAGTAAATTAAATTATAATTAAATTATCTATAAAAAAACTATTTTAACTTTAAAATATTTTGACTTACTATGATAGCCTATTTTGTGTGCAAGTATAGTTCCACTGGATATTGATCATATAGATGCTATAAGTTGGGAATGAATAATTATTTTTTTAAAAAGAGGCTGACAATTTGTAGTAAATTAACTTAGCTTCACATTACCTCTGTATCACGTTCTATAACCTTTTAAAAATTATAAATAATCAAGTGATTTTTAATGACTATCACATGACATATACGTACCTTTTTTTTGACCGAAAAACTTTAAAAATCAGAACATTAAGTTCATTGTCTTACTTTTGCTTCGTTTGACAGAAATACAGAAATTGAATAAATCAACAGTAAAATGGGAGTTTATCAATGTTAGACTTTTACCAAAATTACTTTAAATAGATTAGACACATAAAAGATTAGTTATAATTAATTAGCTTACATAACAACCAACATTTTTGTATTGTGTATCGTTTTGAAGGGGAGATTATTTTATTTATATAATATAATAATAATAATTAGCATTTTATGTATTTTTGTTATTTTAACGAGATGCTCCTCGCCTTTAGTTAATGACCAAGCTGACGTAAATATAATAAAAATAAAGTAAATGTAGGTTTCATTTTAAGTATTTTTTTTTTTTATTTGTATAAACGACCTTGTTGGTCATTCTTCAACGAATTTAAAGAACTTTATAAAAAAATTTTTTTTTGTATAATACAACATAAATATTCATATATGCAGTTGTATTTTTATTAAAATATTATTCAAAAAAAAAAACGCGTATAATATTGTACTGAAATTAAAAATTAATAAAACAAAGTCAACAACAACAAAAAAAAAAAAGTCGAAATAAAATAAATAAATAAATAATAAAATCATGGGTTGCTGTTTTTCAAGAACAATCATTGAAGAAGAATCATTTGAAGGAATTGATAATAATATAATAAGAATTCCCAGAGGAGGTAAGATAATAATGATAATAATTTCATTTGAAGGAATTAAGAAAAAAAATTGATATTAAATTGATATTAAATTTATTATAATTTATTTATTATAAATAATTTAATAGAAATAATTTAATATTTGTTTAAAATATTTAATACTAATTCAAAAGTGTAAAAAATTGAAATCAGGAAACAAACCTTTTACTAAGAGAAATGTTAGATGGGTTGCGGATACACCAATAACCATGAAGCAATTGAAAGAACAACGAGACGCGTTTTGGTATACTGCGCCTAGTTATGAAGTATGTAAATGATAATTAATGATAATTAATGATAATTAATGATGATGAAATAATGAGTTTTAATAATTAATTAATATTACGTAATTATATTATTATTAGGGGCGAATAGAAATATGGCAGGCGTTACGTTGTGCATGTGAATGTGATGACATTACATTAGCTCAAGCTATACTTGACTCCGCTAATATTACGATTCCAACAGGTAATCTAGTTGATAGTTGCTATGATGAACTTGGTAATAGATATGTCATTCCAGTATATTGTATTGTTGAACCATCAAATCTGTATGAAGAAGAAGAAGGAGATGATGATGATGGTGATTATGAAAGAAATAATAACAATAATAATTATAATTATCCTTATAATTATAATAATAGTAATAGTAGTGGTAGTGGTAGTGGTAATAAAAGTAATAATTTTAATAAATCAATTAATGAAGAAAATAGAGATATACAGAATGATAATGATGATAATGATAATAATAATCAAATTATTACAATTAGAATTTCTAATACAGCCAAAGATGTTAATATCAAAATAAATACTAAATTGGATACAATTGCTACTTTGAAGATAAAATTATGTATAGATCAAGGAATAGATATCAAAAGATCTTTAGTTAGATTATTTTTTTTGGGTTCTTTACTTGATGATAAATTAAAATTAGAGGATTTAGATTATAGTGATGAACAAGTTTTACAAGCATTAATTAGTGAAAAACCATAAAACTAAATATTTAATTATATTTATATTTATTTTTTATTTTGAATATAAAAAAAAATCTTTTATTAAAAATTAAAATTATCTATTTAAAATTATTATTATTTATTATATGTAAGTATCTATTTATAATTTCTACTTTGTCATTCGACTTGTATTATCTTATCAAGTCAAGAATTTTGGTAATTGTTTTATCCAAAACAAATAGATATTGATTAAGTTTAAAGTTTATTCAAATTGTATACTTGTAGATTAAATTTCTGTCTTATCTACTAAAGATCGTCACAGCCACATGATTTCAGCGGCCTTATATGACTTCGGACTTGTGTAACAAGGAGTGATTTTTTCTCACATTAGTATTAGGAATTCACAGTTATGATATTGAAGAGGATCATTTCTATCTTTCTGATGGTACTTTTTCCAGTTGCACATTATATGTCCAGGACGTAATAAACAAATAAATATTTGATGTCACACTTTGTTTTCTCGTATGTGCAAATTTTTATATAAAATTAAAAATTAATAATAAATTATCAGGAAAGGATAATACATGTTGTTAATTGTTTAGTTAAATTTTTTAAATATGAAATAAAATAAATTTTTAAACGTAATTAAAATCAAGTAAAATTTTAAATCGAAATAAATTAATAAATAAATAAATAAATAAATAAATAAATTAATATTATTTCCTCATCTATAATGTACATAATCCTTTCCTATATGAATTAATTATTATAATTAACTCCATACATCTTCTTGATATCTTCCTTGACTCCTTAAATCTTTAATATAAACTGTGGCATCTTCTTCACTCATTTCACCACATGATTGAGCTATTTTTATTAATGCGTTATTAACATCTCGTGCCATATTTTTGGCGTCACTAAATAATGATAAATAAATAAATAATAATTTTAGTATAAAAAAAAAATAACAATAATAATAATTTAGAATAATAATAATAATAATAATAATTAGAATATTTTTTATATACTTTACCCGCATACATAAAAGTAACCAGCTCGAGTATAAATTAAATCCCATATATATTTTTGATGTTCTAAAAGACGATGTTGTACATATACTTTACTCTCCTACAATAGTTAATAATAGTTAATTATAGTTTACAATAATTAATAATAGTTAATTATGGTTTATAATAGTAAATAATATAATATAATGATATAATATATCAAATAATATAATATACTGTATATTAAAAATGTTAATAATAGATTAATTATATTAAACTTACTTGTTCTCTTGAAAATGCTGTAATTAATTTTGAATTTTCACCAAGTATATTAAAAAGTTCTTCAAATTCATTTTTATATAAAAAATCAATATTACTATTCCGGCATCCAAAAAATAAAACTGTATCACCTAAATCATAACCTTCTTCTTTATATTTAGCTCTTTCAATTATAAATCCTCGAAATGGTGCAACTCCTGTACCTGGACCTACCATTACTATAGGTGTTTTGGGATTTTTAGGTAATTTGAAATTTGATCTTCTAACATGTATCGCGAATTTTATATTATTATTATCTTCTTCATAATATTTATTTCTAGGTCCATTATATAAATAATATGGTGCGTTATCAGGATGTTGAATATTTCTAAGTTTACGATGAACTTGATGTATATAATTTGTTGCTAATCCATAAACAGTTTTTTGTGATTTGCTAATAGGATTAAATGTTAAAATTGATGCTGTAATATGAATTGTATCTGGAGTAACTTTAGGTGAACTAGAAATTGAATAATATCTAGATTGTAATCTAGGTAACGTTTCAATAATTAAATCTAAAGGAATGGTATCAAGTGGTTTACCATTGGGACTAATATCTTCTAATATTTCACCAAGTGTTAAATGTGCATCCATTACTTCTGTTTTATATGTTTCTTTATCTTGACCTAAAATTGTAAGTTTAGATTTTCCTTCTTCAGTAGGTGCATAACTAGCTAATGTAGCTAAAAATTGACGTGAAGCTGGTGTATGAATATCTAAATAATATCTAAAAATTGTAGCATAAGTTGTAGGAACTGGAAATGGATGCTTTTTCGATGCTGATGCTAAAAAAAAAAAAAATTAATAAACATAAATAAATAAATAATTAATTAATTAGGAAAAAAATAAATTAATTTTTAATAAAGGAAAAAAAAAAAATCAACTTACGATCAGTACTCTCAACTGTTACAATAGTATCTTTCTTTTCCCAAAGACCTAATACTTTAAGTAATCGATAAACTTCTTGTTCTGGATTAATAGGCCAAATCGCTACATGATCACCAGATTGATACGTAATGCCTGAATCTTTAATATCAAATTCCATGTGAATACAATTACGATCAGATGAATTAAATAATTCACGAGAATTTATTATTTTTGATGGGTAAGGATTTCTTTGATCATATGGTACACTAATAAATAAAATTAAATATTAAAAAATAAAATTAAATATTAGAAAATAAAATTAAACATTAGAAAATAAAAAAAATAAAATTAATTAATTAATAAATTAATTATATATATATATATATATATTTAATTTACTTACTCTGAGTTAGAAATTAAAGCATGTTCACTATGTTCACCAAAATAAACTTGATCAATATCACAATCCTCTAATTCAGTGATATTATACGTAGGAATACGAGCACTATTAAAATTAAATAAATTAAATAAAGTTATGTTAAATCAAATTAAAATTAAATAATGTTAGATCAATTTAATCTTCTTCTTACCCAGATTGAACTTCATTTTGATCAATACCCATTTCATCACAAACAGCTTTCCACATATCTTCTTTCCATCCTAAAAAATCTTCTTCCAAACTACCATCATCATCACCTTCACCTGGTTCCCCAATTCTTTTAGCTCCGAATTCAATAAATTTAGCATTAGTCCGTTTTCCTACTTCATTAAAATGTTCATAAGTTTTATTTCCTAATCCAAATATTACAAAACGAAGATTTGATAATGGTTTATCTTCTATAGGTATTTGTTTGGAAAATTCGGGAGTTTCGGAATTAATTAAATCCCAAAATTCTACTGCATCGTCGGTAGGTTCTCCTTCACCTAATATAATAATTATTAATAATAATCAAAATTAAATAATAATAATAATAAATAATAATAATAATAATATTATTATTATTATTATTAATTAAAATTAAATTAAAATATATATATATATATATATATAATAAAAATAAATAAAATATTAACCATAAGTTGCCATCAAAAAGAAAGCTATACATTCTTCGGGGAATTTATCAAGAAGGGTCATATCACAATCTTCAACATCAATAGTCATGGTCTTTAAACCAAATCGTTGTTGACCTTCTTTTGCTAAACGTGAAGCATAATCTTCAGCTGTACCGGTTTGAGAACCGAAAAACATTACAACATTTTTATCCTAAAAGTATTAAAAAGTGATTATTGTGTGATTATTTATTTATTTATTTATTATTTTTTATTATTATTGAATTGAATTTGAATATTAAAACATACGGTTTCTTTCATTTTCTTAATAAAGTCTTTACTTTTCTTTGGTTTTGCTGGCTTTAATGTAGTGGTTGGAGAAACTTGTGAATCAACAGGTTCCTTCTTACTACCGAACAAAGTATCTCGATAAAAATAAAGTAAGGTGCAAGCACCGAGGATGCAAAGAAAGATAAGATCAAAATTATCGATAATGGGTTCAACGGGTTCATTGAATTCAACATTATCAGCCATGATTTTTTTGATTTGAAGATATTTAAAGGGTTGGAGAATTTAAGAATTGAAAGTATTTGCTTCAGTGATTCACACCAATATTGTATATAAAGTATATTTTATTTATTTCCTCTCTAAGTGAAGAATGAAATAATTTATATTGTTTCATAGGAATAATTTATATTGTTTAGATAAAAAAAATTTCCGAGTTGTAGTTACTTTTTTTGGAATGATCTAATCAATTATGACAGTTTTGTAAATTTGTCGATTATCAAATTATTAAATGGATATATATTACTGCATGATTAAAATTATATTATATAATATTATATAATTATATTGATGATGAAATATCTTCTTTATAAATTTTTTATTGGATAAAAAATATGGTCTGACGTTAATCTAAATATTTGAAACTAATTAAACAATTTATAAAATTTATAAAATTGAACATGACCCGAAGTATGTCGTTTCGTTTTTTTTGTTTGTTTTAAATTAAAGAAGTGATTAAATATATTGTTAATTAATTAATTAAAAAAAGTATAACTAATGGAATTTTATTTTACGAATACCATATTTATGTTAAAAAAAATAATTCTATTTTAGTTATTGCTTTACCAAATTTACCAAAGTTGATGACAATCACATGAATTTATTACAATAAACCAATCCCACCAATCCACGCAATCAATATAGTTAGGGATATTTTGTTTTGGGTAAAAGAATATCAATAAAAAAAAGTTTCCCCGGTTTACAGGGGCAACGATGGCCGTGCCGTAAATTAGGATTCCCCCCTCCCCCATTTTAGGAGCGAAGTTAAAAAAAATAATTTTTTAATTTTGGAAATCATGGGGCTTAAAATTTACGATTGTCAGTTTCAAAATTAACTTTTAAGATCTAATTCTCAGCAACAAACAACAAATTCACCCCACCAGAATTAGATCAAACAAAGATTATTTAATTAGAAGAACCACCAGAATTAAGTTATTATGATCTCGAACGTTTAGGCAGCATCCTCGTTGTCATATACATATTATATTGTTATTGGAATATAATTTTTTGTTAATATAATCAAGTGACCAATTACTAATTACTGAGAGATTCGAAATTATAATCAACTAAAAGAATGAACCTTATCTTTATTTTTTTTTTCTTTTATGACACAATGCGTATACCTTCGTACTTTGTTATTATTCTTAGCCATTTTAAATAAGAATAAAATAAAATAAAAGTTATGTAAAGTAACTTCAATGATGCAACTAAAAATAATTCGCGGAAAATAGTTATGGCATTCACTATTATAGGTGCAGACTTAACTGTGCCAAGTGACAGCATTACCGTGAATGAAATGTTAAAGGATAGTAATTACTAATGAAATATTTATTGTTTAATTCCTATTTAACAATCGGCAATCGGCAAAATTTTAGCCACAATTTTTTTGCTTAGTAAAATTATTAGTTAACATATACATGTATCAACATATTCTTATAAAAAAAAGTTATTCTGAAAAATATAGAATGCCCCACCCTTAAATCATGTTACTGAAATTATTTATTTTCGAATTTTTCAGTAAAAAATTTTTTAATTAATGCTCTGATCGATTAAAAACTTTCATTGTGACAAATACAGTTTTCACATTCTAAAAAAATTCTTTATAATAAATAATAATAAAAATAATATTCAACAGGTGTGACACCAAGTGACAAAATTTTTTTAATCCTCTGAACTTTTATAAACTAACCCCCATGCGACAAAAGACAAAATCCATATATAAATATATATTATCTGTAAATAATCTATACAATAAAATTGTTTAATTGAAATAAGGATTTTTCAAAAAAAATATATATATATATTCTCGATATCAACCTTTCTTCTTTGGAATAATAATTACAAACTCATTCTTTGGAAGAAGTCATAATAAATTATATACAACGTTGGTATGATAGCTGGAATTGGTGATTCGTCGTATACATAAATATTTCTATAACAATGAGATATTTGTGATGAGTGTGAGAGTACACATTTAACGACATTTAACGATATTTAAAGAAAGAAAAATAAGAATGAATAAAAAATTTAAATTTTTGGTTTTTACCTTTGATTTTTCAACTTCCATCCAAAACCAGTCTGATTGGTCTTAACAAATAATTTTCCACTTTCATCATCATTTTCGTAAAACATAAATCCATGATCAATACTTCCTTTCACATAGGCTACCACATCAAATGAATTATCTAAATTTGATGAATTATTCATCATTGTTTTATTATTATTATTATTATTGTTGTTGTTGTTGTTGTTGTTGTTGTTTTCCTTAAAATCCGATTTCCTCTTCAAAATAGTTCCTTCTAAATCAGGTGACCATTTTATTTTGAATTCACTTATTTCGGTGGCAATATTATTTTTATTTTCGTAGGTAATAAATGTAATATTAGAATTTTTCCACCTTCCATCAATAATAGAATTTGCCACTAATACCTTAAATGATTGATAGAAATATATAAAGATATTACAATATAATCCAACCCCTTCATTATTATCATCATCATCATCATCATTTAATATCTGATTTTTTATTTTCCTTTTTTCTTTTTTTTCTTTTTTTTCTTCAGATGAAGAGGACGAATTATTATTTAAAATTCGAGTTTCCCCAATAATATCAATTCTCGATATTGATATTGGATTGGTATTGCTACTATCGTTACAATTTGTATCAAAAATCATGGGATACGATGACTCTAACCAATAATCAAAAGATTCATCTCCTTTCCAATACAATTGATATTTTTTAGGATTCGTATCACCAACGATTGGAGGAGGAGGAGAAAGTGGAGGTTCTTTACCAAATATTTTTTTTGGATTATTAAAATATGATAAAATACATAACAAAAAGATTACAATAAGCAGAAATTTACAGAATTGTCTTGATGTTAATTGTCGTTTGTTAAGATTAAATGGATGATCTTGATAAGTTGTGGTATTATTATTACAATAAAGAGCAGCAGGATCATTATGACATGATAAATTATTATTATTATCGTTATTATTATTATTACGATTATTATTAAATAATAGTGGCGTTGTTTCCGAATTATTTGATTGATTTGGAATCTTTGAAGCCATTTTTTTTTTATCTTAAAAGAATTAACAAAAAAAAAGAGATTTCAGAAAAGGATTTCAAAAGAGACGAAAAATGCAGACGGTGAGAAAAAAAAATTTTGTCAATGATCGAGGCTTATTTATGTATTTATATATTTATATACCTGTTTGACAATTATAGTAACACTAAAAATATCTCAAGCAAAGCAATCCTGCAAGATGTGCCTGAATTATAAAAGATATAAAAGATATAAAAGATAAAAGATGAAAGATAGATCATCAAAAAAAAAAGCACACAGCCGAAACTTGAAGGCTTCTTTGCGAGGTTTTCTGCATTACAAATCTTATCATAGTTTCTTCGATTCTTTGTTTCTTTTTTTGATTAGTAAATTTGTTTTGATATAGTAATAATATGATACTAAAAGTAACAAAAGCAACAAAATAAAGTAATAAAGTAATAATATACAAAATGTTCTTTTTCAATATATATATCTATTTACTTATATATTTAATACTATTCAACACCACACCAACTTTCTTCTGCGCAATAAATCTATTGGTTATCGAAGACGAATGATATTTCTGAATTTCTAAAAAAATATTATCCATATTTTCTTTAAATTTTCGTGCTTTAGACGGCATTGCTTCCATAGATTTATAAATGGATAACCTAATATATCTAGCATAATCAATACCAATGTTACCACCCCAATCACCACACGGTACATTTTTAATTTGATGACTTTCTGATGTGAATTTTGGATGAGATTTTAATAAATCTAAGAGGTGAGAATCTAAGAAGGGATCCGTGCCTCGAGATGTGAATTCCGTTATCACTATAAATATCATTATTATTCGTCATAAAAAAGAAAAAAAATGAATTTTATATATTTTATATAAAAATGATATAAAAATGTAAATGAACTAACCATTTTGTACTAATTTGATTGTCATTGGCCCCATGTTCACTCCACCAACCGTGAAATCTACAATCTAAATTTTTTTAATAACAAATAATTATTTAAAATTATTATTATTTTATTAAATAAAAAAAAACAAATTAACATTTTCTTTGAGTCAATAATTTTTATACATAAAAAAAAAATAATAATAAAAATAATAATAATTTACCTCTAACCATCCACCAGGCTTAAGAATTCTTCCTAATTCATCAAGTACCGTATTCCTCCATTGATCATGGGTAAAATATACCCAACAAAATCTCATGTGTATAAAATCAAATGAATTATCTTCAAAAGGGAATCCTTGATCGAAACTTTCGACACTAATTAAACGTACATTTCTTGGTGTTTGGGTGAACATTACTGGAGCAATTTCAATTCCTGTGACATGACAATTTGGAAAATCGGAAACCATGTCAAAAGCCCAAGTCCCTGAACGGCAGCTAATTTTTTTTAAAAAAAGATAAAAAAATCACAAATATAATAAACATGATAAATAAATTGAGATAAATAAAAAAAATGGAATAAATAAACAAATTGAATAAATAAATAAATAAATTGAATAAGTAATAAATAAATCAATAAATAAATAGGGATAAATGGAGATGAATACTAGAAAAGGTTTTAGTTAATAATGTTTACCCAATATCCAGAATTTTAGCATTTTCAATTTTCGGTACGGGAGCCTTAAAATTACTTTCCCATAAACATCTTAATACATGATGTATAATTTGTGATCTATCAATCTCATCATCATCAATTGTACAACCCCTTTTGCTATGCACATTGGTTGCAGCTGTTTTCCTTGAATAAGAAATACCCATTTTTATTATTTATTGAAATTATTTGAATTTAAATTTATTGAAATAATAAAAAAAAATAAAAATATCGCAAATTATATAAGTTTTTTTTATTTCGATTACATAATATTATTTTTATTATTTAGTGTGACGAAAAAATTCAGATTAAAAATTTCGATTCAAGATTACGTAGACAACTATTTTCGCGTGTGTGATTGATGACTAACTTGCGTAACCTGGTTTAACCTAGTTAACTACATATAGACGGGGAGATAAACGCACTTTCAGTAATACGAGATAATAATGAATAAGAAAATCAGGAAACTATAATCTATTATTTACGTTTTACACGTAATTGTAATTGAAATTTAGAGTTTATTATCTTTTATTGGACATTTATTATTCGTGAGTTTTGATGCGCTTTATTTTACAAAATTAATCGAGATTGGTGGTTAATGTGACACGTAATGCAATATTTCCTCGGTTTTATAATTGATTAGCTAATATAACTTAAATGTTTTTAAATTAAATGATTAAATTAATTAAGTAATTAAATAATTAAATAATTAAATAATTAAATAATTAAATAATTAAATAATTTAATGTTCAATATAATTATAAATAGAAGCCCCCTTATAGGCACACCTCTCGACCAAAAATAAAAAGTGTGATTATAATGAAAAGTGACCATATAGAGTGATTTTTATATAGAGTTACTAAGTATTGGTTCCAAAGTGGTGTGACTATAAAATCCTGTGATTATAGAAGGGGTTTTTTACATAGCATTAATAGGTTTCGGTCTTTTGCAAAAGGTGTGCTTATAACGGGGGATTTATATGATGTGATTATAAAGGAGGTGCCTATAGAGGGGTCGACTGTATATAAAAAGAAATAAGAATAGGATTCCTTTTACTAGGGTTCCGCAAATCCTAATTGATCCGCGGATCACACTGTTACGGATCCGGATCGGATCAAATCCAAAAATACTGTAAATCCGACGGATTTTAGATAGGGGAAAAGAGTAAGTAAAAAAAATTTTATTAATTCAAATTTATAAAAATGGTTATAAAATTGAATCTGTATCGAATCTGGATAAAATCCGAACTAGGGCCCTAATATTTAGACTCGTGATTATAATAGTGATTTTGGATTTGCTGACTAATCGTCAGCCAATATTCAAACTCGATTCTATAATCGACCCGCGATTCCTATCCCTAATTGTGACAAGTATCTTTAATACATTAGTTAAAAAATGTCAGAATAATAATCATTACTTAGAAAAACAAAAAATACCAGAAAGAAAGAAAGAAAAAAATAAATTAATAAATTAAACAAATTATTGAGTATGTTATATCATGAATGGGTTGAATTGATCAACTATAATTAACTATAACTAATCTATAATGTCATCAAAAGTAAAAAGCCTTTGACTCAATTATTGAAATTTAATTGTCTAAGTAATTGTGTTAAATAATTATATCAATTGTATCAATTTTTCATAATTTTAATTACATTTGACTAAATTCAAAAGTTTTGATAACACAGGTCAAATACAAAAGAATCAGTGTATCAAATAGTAATTCCTATAGTTAAAAATTACTAAAAATCAACTGTCCTATTGCATCCTATATTATAAATCAGCTAAAATCAGAATTTCTTTTCAGTACAACAATTTTTTTTTTTTGTATTTGACCAGTGTGAAATGTATAAACTAATCAATATAATTAAGGCTTCATTATACAAAGTCTGAAAAAAAATTTTCTGGATACATTTAAATTCCTATTAATCTGAAATTCATATCTATTATATTTACATAGATATTTTATTTTCATTTAAATTTTCTTTGATATATTCACAATTATTACAAGTTTTACTTCAACATCAGAAAAATTAATTAGACATTATATTACAAGAAATCATATAACTATAAATTTATTTTTCAATTTGATAATTTATAAAAAATAAAATAAATACTATTTATAATATAAGAAATATTATATATTAAATTACTAATTATAATTTATACATTATTATATAATATTAATAAGTAATATTATATTAATAATTATCATTAATTAATTAAATATTAATGTTTATATTTTTATTTTAATTAAATTATTATTGTAATTCATATTTTTTTATTATTCAATTATTTTAAAATGAATATTATATACTATATACCAGGGACGATAATTTTATGTGATCACATAATACCATATAAAATTATAAAATTTGAGATTTTAAATTGTCACAAAATTTTACAAATTTTATTAAAAACATAAATTACAATTTATTTGTTTTCTATCATATAAATTCACAATTTTTATTAAAATATATTACAAATTATCTATATTTAGTAATTCACAAAAAAATACAAAATTTGACTTTATCACACATACAAAATTTACCTTATAGCATTACAAAAAATCATCATCTCTGCTATATACTGTAAATTTCTATAGTTGTTATATAATTAATTATAGTTATTTTTTTTCTTATAATAATATATATATTCATAAATTAGATAAGTTTTAATAATCTTAATTTCAAATTTAAATATACTTTTGAAAATTTTTAATAAAGTTTTAATTAATTTATTTTTAAATATAAATAATATTTTATAATTGATATAGTAATATTAAAAAATATTCTAATATTAGTAATATCAAAATTGATTTTTATTCATTAATTAAAAAATTATAAATATAAAATATATGTAAAAACTTTATTTATATATATTAATAATATTATTCATATTATTAAGTATAAATATGAGTAATTTTTTAAATAAATTTTGTTAAATATTATTATATTTCAAAATAAAATTATTGTAAATTGAAATTTCTTCTAAAGTTTTCTACTACTATAACAGATAAGTTATATATTTGTATTTTTTTCTAGCTTGTTATTTTATATATATGTTTTATTTTTTATATATATATTATATATGTTATCAAAAATAAAAAACTTTTGATTCAATTTTAATTTTTTCAATTTTTAAAGAACATATCAAAAATTAACTAGTTTAAAAGAAAATAGAAACTTTTTCAATATAATTAAAACATTTTTATCTCATATATCTAAATACATAAGTTAGGACTAGAGTTTATTAAAAACAATATATTTATTATCACATATTATATTATTTGAATATCAATTTTTATTAAATATTCTAGAACTTAGAATTCTTTACATATGAAAATTATATTTATTACCTGATATTTATTACATAAATTTGTTATATAAACTTAATATGTAATGTATTTTTGATTATTTGTTAAATTATAGATCAATAAAATTTTAAGATAAAAATAATTTTGATATAGTGGTACAATTTAAATATCTATTTATTGGTAAATAGATATCTGTAAGCTTTTATTATAGATATGAATATACATGTTTTCAAAATTGAATTTTGATTTTTGAAATATTTTGTTTTTTTGAGATTTATACAGAATCTATTTTATATATAAAAGTAAAAAAAATATGATTTCCTAATATAGAAGTTAAACTATCTTTAGTAACTTTATAACTTTTACTAAAATAGAAAAATAAAAAGTATGTACATTTAATATTTTATATATATATATTATATATATATATATATATATATTATTTAATATTTATATGTAATAATTACAATAGTATCTATTTTCTTCTTTATTTAAAGTAAACAAACTAATAGATAAAAAGTTTTTTTTATTATTGCTATTTGCTTCTATTAAATTATTATTACTGGTTTCTCTTAATATATTTGAAATTGATGGTTTATTATTTTTATGTTTTTTTAAGAATTTTCTAATTCAGTATCATTTATAATTTTGGTCATTATAATTATTACTGGTTAAAAATCCTACACACATCGGATACTAGATAAGTATAGTATTCGTTCCTAATATCAAACATATATCTAATACCCGATAAGTATTTTATATATATCAAATATTCAATAAGTATAAAAAATATTTTTTACACCTATTAAATATTCAATATATACCTGATGTTGAAAACAAATATTACACTTATATGGTATCCGATGTGTATAGAATTTTTAAGTTTTCAACTAGTATATATAAAAATAATCAAGTTAAAAAATCTAGATCTTTATAAAAATAGATAATGAAAACATAATAATTAAAATTAATATATAAACTGAAATTTTCAGTTTCAGTTTTTAATTCAATTTCTATAAATAAACTGAGACCAAACTAAATCTGAACTAAAATATTTAATTTGTATATTTAATAAACTGAAATTGAACTAAACTGAAACTAGCAAATCAGTTTTGTTTGAACTAAACCAATTGAAAGCTTTAATAATAATTATAAAGTTGAATAATAAATTATAATAAATAATATAATAAAAGGTGTCTCAATTATAAAATTATTCTCAACCAAAGTTATTTCTGTATTTATAATGATAAATTGAATTAATACTTAATCAAAAATATTTAACCAAATAATACTCAATCAAATAATATTCAACTAAATAATATTCAATTAAATAATACTCAATGAAATAATACTTAATCAATTAATACTTAACCAATTAATACTTAACTAAATACTAATTAATTATATTAACAAAAGGAATATTAATTAACTTTGAGACTTAATTCTCAATTTTTATGTAATAATAAACTGAAATATATTAAAATAAACTTAATGAAAGGTCTGATTCTTTTTCTAAAATAATTGAATTAGAGATACTTTCTAAGACAACCAAACAATAGTCTTACTTTCAGAAAAAAATTATAAACTCCTTAAAAGAACTGTTAAGTTACTTCACTAACTTGTTTGCAAAGAAGTCAAGTAACAATGTATTAAATTCTAATTTTAGCTAATTTTTAATATAGGATACAATAGGATAGTTGATTTTAGCTGGTTTATAATTTAGGAATTCTGATTTTTAGCTAATTTATAATATAGGAATCATCATTTGATACAGTGATTCTTTTGTATTTGACTAGTGTAATTAGTAAGAATAGAGAGATTCAACTGTATATTAATTGTTATTTTGTAATAATTAATAGTTGTAAAAAGGTGGTTGGTAATTATATTTGATAAATTTGTAATCATTTTAATTATTTTTTACTGTTTTTAAATAATTTTTATTCAATTTTGACTATTGAATCATTATATACAAAAAAATCATAATTTATGTAATAATAATAATAATAATAGAAGATTCAATCCTGAACTTTTATATTTTGTCTATCTTTCTATTTCATTTTTTCTAATATAATTTACTTTTTTTTAGATTTATTTCATGCTTTATAGCTTTATAGATCCAATGGTTTAAATGTTATTAAATTGATTAAAAAACTTATAAGTTATCCTGTAGAAAGAGTATATTCACATTAAATAAAGTACTTTATTCATTTATTTGATTATTAGTATTGTGTAATCCCCTGCAGATCCAATATATATTCCGGACAAAGTCTACCCTTCATAAAAATTTGGCAATCTTCAATGTCTTATCATATTTTAAATCTATCTAGCTATAATATTCTTTCTCATGTAAAGTACCCTAGCGGATACTTTGTGCGGCAGATTACAGTATTATTTACTGAGATAATCCTTAAACCAAAATATTTCTGTTCTATTATTCTTATTTAAATACAATATATTTTCACGTTACATGTTACATATTGTTGACATTGTTTCTACATAATCATTATGCTAAAAAAAAGTTTCGCATGATTGGGCAATAACATAAACAAACAAAAACAAATACTACAGTATATATATTTAGCAATAATCAATTTATTTCGTTACTTGTATTAATATGTGAAATTCGCCAAATAATAGTTTGAAGGTCTTAATATTATTATCTTTAATTGTAAATCCCTGTAAACTTCTGGGGTTAAATTTCCAAAAATTATGGGATTGGGGAATTGTTATTTATACATGATGCACATGTCCCAATATGAACAAATAAATCATTTAAAATCGCGTGTTGCCCCAAAAAAATATGGATTGTATTTCCAAATTAAACTTGTTGTTTATTTTTTTTTTATTGTTTATTGTAAAATCAATTCAATCATATAAAGCCTTGTTTTTTTCTGACCATCAGATCTGACTATCGCCTTAATTTCCGAAAATTATTTCCTTTTCGGTTATTTTTAGTAGGCTTTATAAATATTATATAAAAAAAAAAAAAAAAAAGTTTAAAAATCAAATTTCTTAAATCAATTCTTCTCTTTAAATAAAATTTTAAAATCAATCATTTTTATATAATATCCTTAGCTTAAATTAAAGTTAAATTAATTTGTTAATGTCTCCAACACATTCGCCCAAGCATTCAAGAACAAAAAAATATGCCCATCATACTCAAAATTATGTCAACGAATTTTCTTTAGAATTTCTTGATGAATCTCATATTGAGGCTTTTGAAAAAGCTCTCGCCAAAGACCCTGAAGAAGATGATTTGGAACATATATCAGCTATATCGGATTTTATGCCAATTAGACAAAAGGTTAAAAGGAAGAAACCAAAAGTTCCTAGTGGTTTTGAAGGAATCTCTTATCATATCGTAAGGTTCCCTATGATGGTTAGTATAAAATATATATCATTAACAATATTATTTTGTACCATTTTATTTCATGCCTCACATTCTCACGCTTCTCTTTCTTCTCCTTTTCTTCTAGTTGATTATTTTTATAATCATTACAATTGAACTTTTACTTTATTTTTTGGTACGTCAAATCGTTAATCTTTGGGAATATTTTGTCCAATGGTAAATTTAAATTTCTTATCAATTATGCGAACATAAAAAATATATATATATCAAATACATCAAATTTTCTAACAATACATAATATAATATTTCTTAATATTAAAAGGAGAGGCAAAAAATATTTTCTCAGAGAAAAACTTCGACAAACCACCACTTATGAAGAATGGGTAGATTCTGCAAAGAAACTTGACAATTATTTCAATTATGACGAATGGAAGGGAGAAATTCCATTTGGATATTATAATTTCAATTTAATCCAAAAAGTAAATAGAGATCTTATAAATTTAAAATCTGGTCCAAATGAAAATCCTGCTCGGCTAAAAAGTGTATTGCTTGATTGTGTAAAAAATAATTTCGCGGGTGTTGAAAATGTTCGATTATATTCTCAAACTTATTATGGTACTAAAGAAATCGTTGAAACTTATTATGATGAAGGTAATCTATTACTATTGTTATTTAATTTATTTTGATGATTATTATTGATTATTATTATTATTTTTATTTATTTATATATATATTTTGTGTATTTATTATATTATTTAATTAATATTTATCAATATTATCTCCATCTATAGTTACTGAAGCTCTTGATCATTTACGAACAACAAAATCGTTATCAAATGAAGAAAAGAGAAGACTTTTTAAATATACTCATAAGAACTATGGTCGTACCGCTTTATGTCTTAGTGGTGGTGCAGTTTTCGGTTATTATCATCTCGGTGTGGTTAAAGCTCTATTTGATGCAGACGCTTTACCTACCGTACTCACTGGAACAAGTGCCGGTGCATTGATTGCTGCTCTGGTTGGAGTGAGAAAAGATTTTGAATTATCTCAAGTATTAAAGCCTGAACTTAGTTCACGTCTTACTGCATGTGCTGAAGGATTTCCCGGTTGGTTTATACGGTGGTGGAGAACAGGTGCTAGATTTGATGCTGTTGATTGGGCGAGAAAAATCCAATGGGTTACAAAAGGAAGTTTAACATTTAGAGAAGCGTATGAAAGAACCGGAAGAATTTTGAATATTTCCGTCATACCTTATGATCCTCACTCTCCCTCTAAAGTGTTAAATTATATAACTGCTCCCGATTGTGTAATTTGGTCTGCAGGTAATTATAGTTATATATAATATTATATAATATATATATATATATATAAAACATTTAAACATTTGTTAATTAATTTGTTAATAATAATTTGTAGTAATTGCAAGTGCAGCAGTTCCGGGAATTCTCAAACCAGTGGTTTTGATGCAAAAATCGAAAAATGGTAATCTAGTTCCATATAATTATGGTCACAAATGGAAAGATGGTTCATTACGTACCGACATTCCTACTCAGCCACTCCACATGCATTTTAACGTGAAAAGTACTATTGTCTCTCAAATGAATCCACATGTTCATCTATTCTTTTATGCTCCTCGTGGTTCAATCGGTCGTCCTGTCAGTCATAGACTTGGTAGAGGATGGCGTGGAGGATTCCTCCTAGCAAGTGTAGAGCAATATTTGAAATTAGATCTTAGTAAATGGTTGAAATGGATTAGAGATCTTGAACTTTTGCCAAACATCGCTGACCAAAATTGGAGTTCAATTTGGTTACAAAAATTTGATGGGAATGTTACCATTTGGCCGAAATCTAATATTTGGGATTTTCTGTATATCCTTACAGATCCAACTTGGGAAAGACTTAGTCAGATGATTAGAGTTGGTCAACGTGCAACATGGCCTAAACTTCACATGATTGCTAATCGATTAAGAATTGAACGTGCTATTCAAAAAGGTCGAGCAGCACTAAGACGTGAGGAAAGAAAACGACATAATAAAAATCGTAATTGGGATAATCATAGTAATGGAGGAACAATTCAAAATATTCAAAATGAAGATTCAACTCATACAAATTTGATATTAGGTCCTCAAAACGATAATAATAATATTGATGATAATAATGGGAATGAAGAATTTGAACATTTGAGTGAAAATGAATCTGATGAATTAGTACTTACAAAAACAGATAGTGATAGTGGAAATTCTATTGGAGATATTAGAGAATCTGTAGGTTTGGATGAGAGATCTTCGCTAACTGATTCAACCATAGATACTTCAACATCATCATCATCTGATTCAGAAAGTGTTATGACTCCAGAAGAGGGTCAAGATTTATTATAATTTAATTTTTCATACAAATAGACAAACATTAAACATTTCTTTGTTTGCATTTTTTTATTTATTAATTTGTTCAGAATTTCAATTATTTATTATGTTCTTAAATCTACTATGTTGATCACATTTTCCAAAATTCTTTCCATTAAAACAGCCAAGCTTAATAAAAAAAAAAAAATTATTATAAAATTTAAGTCACATGAACTGTTGTGACACGTGTAATTTTTTAAATCTTAAATATATGCCAATTTAGTTTATTTTTATACTTCGAATTCCCAAAAGACCAATGCATTAAATAATTGAAAGTTTTACTTAAAATCTTTTGTTCATATATTTTTTGATTAAATTAAGGTCAACTATTAAAATTTTTTACTAATGTCTTCCAAAATTTTCAGTTATTTTAGTTGATTTAGGTAAAATTGTAGATGAATTATATATACTCGTTAATGGTTGGCATTTCCAAATTTTTCTAATTGTGAGAATTCTCTATTCAACATGGTTAGAAAACGTGTATCATTTTAAACAAGCATTATTTTTTATTACTGTTCAAATTAACAAAGAAAATTGTTCAATTTCGCAATATTATTGTGAGTGCAATAATTTTATTAGTGTTGCTTCAAATTCTAGTACCTCAAACCCATACAAAAACTTTTCAAAAATACTATACACTATTCAGGATGGGATGGAATAATAAAAAAATAATTCAAAAATTATATAAATCCATTATTATTTCTTTCTATTTGTTTTTTTTCCAAAATTCTCATTACTTCTTCTACTCGGGTACTTTATTGTCCCTAATTCTTCTGTTATATATTCTCTAATGGTTTCACCTTGTCTTTTCCTATGCTCATATTCTTCGCATAAGTCTGGGTATTCTTCTTTGACTATTCCTTTTTCCTTTATACTTGGAATTTCCTTCTTTCAATGTTTTTCTTCTTTTTTTTACTGCATGTTTATGGTGATAACATATTAAAGCTAAATAGTTTCCAGCTCTTTTTTTCATAAAGCAAATACATTTTTCTGGGTTTTTGTCGTCATTATTGTTTCCTGTATATTTTCGATGTTGTCCGCTAATGCTTCCTTCTGGTTTTGTAAATCCTGCTTCCTTATATCGTTTGTATGCCTGATTTGGTGGATCTAAAGGCCTTCGTTTCATTGCCTCGTATAAATCATTCACTTCTTTTCCTGTTGCTTCCGCTATTCTTGATCTATCATCCATATATGCACACCTATGGTTCGTCGTCATTCATTGCTGATGTTGAATAATTAATACTTTACATTCCATACTCGGTTGTTTCTTCCTGGTACCCAAAAATTACTACATGTTTTATAAATTAAGATTTTTGTATCATTGTTTACACATTTTGGACATATTCCTGATTCTGGTAGATTTTCTTTACATTCTTCGCATTTCTTTACTTCGATAATCCTTGTTATGATTACTTTATTTTCTACAATTTCTTTATCCCTGTTCATTTCGTAAGGTTTCCTTCTCTTTACTTCTTTCTGAAATAACTTCTGACCATAGTTTCCTTTCGTTACTTGTTTCTCCTTTTTCCTTCTGTTTTTCTAATTCTAATTCTTCATTTTTTTCCATTCTTTCCATTTCATCCTTATTTTTCCCTTTTACCATTTCTATTATTTGTTGTCCCAATTTTTTACTACATTCTTTACAATACTCTTCATTTCGTTCCTTTTCCATTGGTCCTATACATTCTTTGCATAGTTTCGTATTTGATCTGACATTCTTTCTGTTGTAACTTTCTGTCCTATATATTGATAAACATTCTTCACAACATATTACGTATCTATTTCGAAAATTTTTTTTTCTTTTCCCTCTTTTGTTTACAAAAATAACAAATTTTCCCATTTTTCCGCGTTCTTACTGCTTTCTTCTTGTTCTGAGTCTGTACACTCCTTTCCGTTTAAAGGACATAATCCTTTTCTTTATTCTTTCCAATATTTTTTACAATATTTCTCCTTTCTTTCTCCAATTATTTTCCGGTGAACTTTTCCCGTACATTTGTCCCATTTTTACTCTTTTTCTTTCAACCTTTTATTCCTTTCTTTTAATTGTTGTTCATGTGTACTTTTTTCTTCAACTCTAAAATCACAACTTTTTCTTTTTCTTTCCTCTTGATTCAATACCCATTCATAAAAGTCTCCTTCGAAATCCGATTCATCAATTATTTCTGTTAACGTTCTTTATTGCCTGTAAAATTTTTACCAATTTTTCTGTTTTCATTTTTCTGATCCTTATTTTGTCCGAGTATTTTTCTAGTCCTATATATACTGAATTCTTTCCATTAATTCTTCAGTCATTTCAAGTTTTACCCCTTGTCCGTATAATTTCCAAAAAATTCTTCGTTTTTTATCAAATAACGCATCTTCCTTTTCCTGTAAATCTTCTATTCTTTTGTTTAATTCTTGCTCCCTTTCATCCCATCTATTTCTTAAGAATTTTGCTATCCCTCTAGTCGTAACTTTCCTTTCTTCTACGAATTCGTTCTTCATTTTCTTTATTTCTTTTATTTTTTCAATTACTTCTTCTATCCCTTTTCCGTCTTCGAATTGCGTGTCTAAAGACATTAATTCTGTAATTTCCGTACTAATCCGCTCTTCTAAACTCTTTTCATATTTCATTAATCTATCCATTTCTTCTTCTATTTCAATTACTTCTTCCAATTTTTTCTGTCTTTTGTCTCTTTCTTCTTTTAATCTTTTTCTTGTTTCATCAAGTAATACTTTTGACTCTTGGATTCTATTCATCGTTCTATTTTTGGTCCGTTTTCAATCAATGGTTCCTTTAAATGTCTTATAATTCTCTAATCCCTTTCTATGGTGCAACAAGTTTATTCTATGATTAGTTGTTGTGTAACCAACGGCGTTTTTTATATTAGAGTAACCCCCTGTCACAGTGTTGGCAAGTGACTTCAAATGACACTATGTATTAGCCAATCAAAAAGAGTTTTTTTTTTAAATATAAAAAATATTAATTTAATATCGACTTTATTATAAAATGTATTAAAAAAAATTCTAAATTATTATTATTAATAATTAAATTAACATTCTTTATTATTTTATAATCAAAACTTTATTAAAATTTATTATTTATTATATTAAAAATTATTATTATTTATATTAAAAGTTACTATTAAAAATCACTAGTTTATTTAAGATTATTATTATATTATTATTTATATTAAAAATTACTGTATTATTATTATTTATATTAAAAATTATTATTATTAAAAATTACTATTATATTTAAAATCATTATTATATTAACAAGAAAAATGGTTAGTTTCAATATATAATGGGGCTTTAAACTATCAATAAAAGAGAGAATAATTTTTATTTAACAAATTGATCATCTACAGTATGGATATTATGTATTCCAATTGAAAAATCATTATCTAAAAAATTTCCATTAAGTAATATTTCATCACATTCATTTTCTACACAATTTTCATATACACATTCATTGACCCATTGTGAAATAATTGATTTCCATTAATTTATGCATTCATCAGTATTTGGTTCTAACTCATTTTCCTCACTTTCTACAATAGTATAATTGTTATTTATATTTTTATCATGACTTACAATTATTGAATCTACTGATTTCATCAAATTTTTCCTATTGAGAATTTCTGAATCATCTATATTTTCATTAGGAATGATTGGTATTGCAATATGGAATCATTTTACTTGTTAATTGGTTTAAGTAATTTCTTTAATTTGATATTGATATAAAATGTCACTACAAATTTGAGAACCTTGTCATACTAAAAATTATAAATATTGTTTGAAATTTAATATATATTTATTTTATTAAAAAAATAAAATTTAAAATATTAATATATACAATATTTAATCTATTTCATCTATTAATATGAAGAAAATTCATTGAGAACCATAAATACTAAACTGTTATTGAATTTACACAAATACTATAAATATGAATATCCATTTTAGCAAGTTCTAATTCAATTCCAATTGTTTTTTTTATTTCAGTGAGGCCTTGCTTCAAATTTATTAATTAAGAAAAGAGAAAGTCTTTTACATTATTATTACATAAAATAAAATATATAACTTATTCTAATAACTATTGTAAAAAAAAAAAAGAACTCAAACTAACTTTATAAAGAGACATGCTTGTAACCTACTGCCTAACAGCAACAGCTATCCTCAGCATGTTAAGGTCCTGTCAAACAACCTATTTTATATAACCCTGTTCATTTAATATTATTTTGAATAGATTGAAATAAAAATTTTTTGATTATATTAAAACAAATATTTTTAAGAATTTTTTTTTCTCTATGAATTTTATTATTATTTTTAGAATTAGTAGATACTAAACTAATTACTGTATTAATTATCACAGGTGACCAACCTTCTTCTTTTCCAATTCCATTTGTTAATTTTCAAAAATCTAACATATTTCCTTAAAATTGAAAAAATGATCATTGTCATATGAATCATCTTCTTTTTTATAATTAACTAATTCTGCTAAAATTGTTTTAAACTAGGTATCAAAAAAAGCATAGTAATAATATTTTAACCATTGACCAATATATGTCTATGTAAAGTTGTTTGCAGTTGATCAAAACATTGACAACTTATAAGAATAATAGAAAGTAACAAAAGTGGATGCTCCCAGTCTTTCTATCTTTTTTTCATTCTAAATATTATTTTTTTAAAAAAATCTAAATTATAATATTCTGAAAAAATTTTTGTAGTATATATAAAACAATACACTACTTTATAAAGATATGTAGTATCTTTTTGTAACTTATTCAAAAACTTACATAAAAGATATAACAGATTTTGTAAAGAAAATAATGTTTTTCAAAATTCTGAATCATTAATACTATCTACAATATCATCAAGTAATTTATGTTCTCCATTATTTCTTAATTGACAGTGTATATATATATACAGATGGTTCCTTGTCAAAAGATACTAATCAACTCAGGTTAATTGTAATGGGTTGTGACTGGATAACTATTGAAGAAGTTGGTAGAAAATTAACTTTTCAAGGTCATGTTAAAAACTTTCTTTTTTTAACATGTGCAGAAATGATGACAATACTTACTGCGATCTATGTAACTTCTAAAAATTCTACACTTATTAATAATATTTCAAAAGTTGTAGTAAAAAAACTTTTAAAAAACTTAAAAATTGAACACTCCCATATACCATTAAGGAGTTAATTGTGGTTTAAGATATAAATATTTAACTAGTTAAAGTTAAAGCACACTTAGGAATAAAGTATAATGATCTGACAGATAAGCTAGCTAAAAAGGACTTTTTGCAAAACAATTGTATACCTAACTTACTTTTATTTTCTTCTGTGAATACAATAGGCTATTGGAATTTAAAGGCTATAAAGATTTCTTTAAGAAGCTTTGTTAAAAAAATAAGAACAACAAAATATACTGCTCAATGGTATTTATTAAATAGAAACTTTAATATGATTTCAGATTAAAAAGTCAACAAGTTATTTGAAAAATATCATAGGAGGTAATTTCAATTTTGTATAATGAAAGATCTTTTACATGTGATAAAAAAACTCAGGAAAGAGCTTTTAGTATAAAATTCTTAAATGATGAATTATCCATTGTGGAGCAAATGTTTGAGAGATTTCTTTTGGTATATAAAAGTAGCCTTTGTGTATATTGTGATAAAGAGATAGAAAATTACATGCATATATTCTTGTGTGAAAAAAATTTAGTGGACATTGAAATATGTCAAAATAAATTTATTAGCATATTAGTAAATTAAATTAATATTGTAATAACAAATACCTCATGTAAGAGTGTCATAAATTTAATCGATAATTTATATAAAATTAAAGTCATAAATATTGGAGTTAATAGGAATCCAGATGAGTTTTCGTTTGTAGATATTTTATTTGACTTAATACTTTTATTATTGAAGAGTTAATCTTGTTTTTGATAATTATTATAGAAGAAACAAGTCAAATTTTATATAATATAATGGAAAAATTCAAAGATTATATACACAAACATATTTGAATTATAAGATGTAATAACATCAAAAAATGAAAACTTGACAATAGCATTAAAAACAAAAGAAAGAAGAAAGTTAGTTTTCCTGTGGTAATCAATTCAGTAATTAGTCTAATATCTACTGATTCCAAGAATAATAATAGAATTCATAGAGACAAAAGAATTCTTAAAAACATTTGTTTTAATATAGTCAAAAAATTTTTATTTCAATCTATTTAAATTAATATTAAATGGATAGGGTTATATCACTAGTCAAAAATTAATAAAACATACACATATCGGGTATCCAATATGTGTATGGTACGTTCCTAATATCAGGCATATATCAGATACCTGATAGGTGTAGAAAATATTTTTTTATACTTATCGAGTATCCGATATATATATATATAATATTTTTTACACCTATCAGGTACCCAATATATGTCCGATATTAGGGACGTATCATGCACATATCGGGTATTCGATATGTGTATATTTTATCAATTTTCGACCAATGTATAAAATAGGTCATTTGGCAAGACTTTAACATGTTGTTGACTGTGATTACCTTTACTAGACATGATTAACTAACAACTGATAATAGGAAAACTATTGTCCAAAAGATTACAAAGCAATTGGACGAATATGTTACAGTTGGAAGGTTTTATACTTGAAGAGGTATAAGGAGTAAAGGATTTGAGGTTACGGTTTGTTCGAAAGAGGCTAAGGTGTGAGATTTTTAAGGGAATATGAAATTTAAACAATATGACACTAAGTCAACTAATATTCATACAGAATATTATAAGTTTCACACAGAAACTACAAGAATTCA